ACTCATTTAGTAATTCTTTTATTTTTCATTTTAATGACTACTTGCATTGCATTGTATCATATTGTCTAAAAAAATTTATATAGTCTATCACCACCAATTCCGCCCTTTTTATATAATTCCCAACCTAAAACACTAATTATGTCAAAAATTAAATCACAAATATTCGCCCGCCCAAAAAACGTCTTTTTTAAGACATATGCTTTACTTTGTCATAGTTTAGTTTATTGTCAAATATGTTGAATAAATCGAATAAATTTTGTTAAAGCAATGAATTCAGATCTAAAAAGAAAACCATTTAATACCGAATTTCCTTGCTCGTTGTTTAAAAAAAATGTTTGGGTAACAATGTTACATCACCTGATAATAGCGGATTAATTGAAATGAAAAGAAAATCGGAACGTGGTATGTATTTTGAAATCAATAATAAATTTTTGGTATTATTGTGGAAATAAAAAACATTTATTGTCTGAAAATAATATTATGTCATTTGATGAATTTAACAGATTTGATCACGGAATTAATTAAAAATATACTTGGACTTTTCGAATCAAAAGCATTTGATTTTTCATTTATAATGTCAACAATAGAAAATGACACCGCATTAGATTTGACCCAATTAAAAAGTCGTGCCGGAATTTAATAATAGATTGGGTGTTGCAATATGCCAATAAAACTTTTGCGCCTTTTTGTTGAAAAATAGAAGTTATTTAACCGTTTTAAAAAATTGCCTAATTGTGTTTATATTCATTATTAATGCCGTTTTTGATAATTGTTTACTGTTAACACTTTTAAATATTGTGTTAATTGCTATTTTATTTTTTTTATTTATGTGTAGATAATTTAAAAATATTTCTGCTTAAAATCATATAAGTACTAATAGTAAACAATTACCAAAAACAACATAAATAACAAAAAAACGCGATTAAACCAATTTTTTAACAAAACTATTATATATTTATAAAATATTTATAAAAAAACTCGCGCAACTCATCGTCCTCGTCCTGTTCGGCCGGCATCATAAATTGCCCTCCAAAATCTTCATATTTGAAGGGTATGCCATACTTTTCTTGTACGTGTTTAATTATAACGTCTGACGGATTATGTATATATCTCAGAACTTTGTTGTTCTTGGCGATAAGTTTTAAAATGAGATCGGTTTTAGATTTGTCAACCATTATAATCAAACTCGGGGATTCGGTAATTGCGGCAATATACATATCATCCGTCCGATGCTCTATCGGAATGTACCATAACGTCGAGTGATTTGCTTTAAATGCTTTGTCACAAATTTGTTTTGTTTTCTTTTTAGTTTGCTTAAATAAAGAACAATTTTCTTTAAGTATTGTTTCCAACATATCATCTGTCTGAAATTGTTCTTTAAAAAATTGGTAAGCTTTGATAGATACCCCAAACGCAAATTTACACAAATCTTCTGTTTGCTCAACAAGACGTATGACAGTCCAATCTCTTTTGATAACATCCTTTATCATATCCGGTGTTTTGTTTGTAATATATTTAATCACTTTACTGGTTTTTTCCAACATTTTGATCCAAAAACTGTCGTCAACATCACTAAATTTTTTGATCGATTTGACATCGATCATATTCGAATATTTTACACCATTAAAGTCAACATAAACTTCTGATCCGTCGGGTATTTCAACCTCTGCGTAGAATTCAAAACCAATATCAAAACCAATATCAATATCAAACAGCATGTAACTTTGAGTTCCCTCGAAAAAACACATGGGATAATCACTGACATTTAATCCTTTTTTTAATGTTTTATTCACTATTTCACGCTTATATTTGTTGGTCTTGACTTCTATATTTTTAGAACGGCAATATTCTTTTTCATGGTCGCACGGTGAACTACACACAGTGCAGACCAAACGATACCCGGGATATATATGGTTAGACATAAGTAACGTGTAAAATGGTCCACTGCGTTTGGAATTGTCAAAATCAGTTTTTTCCAGCACGATACCTGGGCCAAATTTTTTGGCATTGCCATTCGACGTATCGGTCATTTTATTTTGTATAATATTTAACAAATAAATGAAAGTACCCGAACTGTCGAAAATAAAAATATTCAATCGGTGTCTTTTTCAATTTTTAACACCGTTGCACATTTTAAACGCCGACTTTTTTTAATTCAATTATAAATTATTTTGTGTGTTGTGTTAAACCATCTAATTTGTGTAATCCGGATTTTATTTTAACCATACTAAAGTGATTTTCAATATTATTTGTATTGTAAAATGTATTGTGCTTATCTTAACTCATTTAGTAATTCTTTTATTTTTCATTTCAATGACTACTTGCATTGCATTGTATCATATTGTCTAAAAAAATTCATATAGTCTATCACCACCAATTCCACCCTTTTCATATAATTCCCAACCTAAAACACTAATTATGTCAAGAATTAAATCACAAAAATTTGCCCGCCCAAAAAACGTCTTTATTTTAAGACATATGCTTTACTTTGTCATAGTTTAGTTTATTGTCAAATATGTTGAATAAATCGAATAAATTTTGTTAAAGCAATGAATTCAGATCTAAAAAGAAAACCATTTAATACCGAAAACCCTTAATTCGAGAAAATAAGATAAGATTCATGGAAGAAATAAACCCGTTATCTAATAAAAATAAAAGAAAATCAGGTTTAACCGAAATTCCTTGCTCGTTGTTTAAAAAAAATGTTTGGGTAACAATGTTACATCACCTGATAATAGCGGATTAATTGAAATGAAAAGAAAATCGGAACGTGGTATGTATTTTGAAATCAATAATAAATTTTTGGTATTATTGTGGAAATAAAAAACATTTATTGTCTGAAAATAATATTATGTCATTTGATGAATTTGACAGATTTGATCACGGAATTAATTAAAAATATACTTGGACTTTTCGAATCAAAAGCATTTGATTTATAATGTCAACAATAGAAAATGACACCGCATTAGATTTGACCCAATTAAAAAGTCGTGCCGGAATTTAATAATAGATTGGGTGTTGCAATCTGACAATTTTCCCAAAAAAATGGGATGAAAAGAGAGTTGCAATATGCCAATAAAACTTTTGCGCCTTTTTGTTGAAAAATAGAAGTTATTTAACCGTTTTAAAAAATTGCCTAATTGTGTTTATATTCATTATTAATGCCGTTTTTGATAATTGTTTACTGTTAACACTTTTAAATATTGTGTTAATTGCTATTTTATTTTTTTTTATTTATGTGTAGATAATTTAAAAATATTTCTGCTTAAAATCATATAAGTACTAATAGTAAACAATTACCAAAAACGACATAAATAATAAAAAAACGCGATTAAACCAATTTTTTAACAAAACTATTATAAATTTATAAAAAACTCGCGCAACTTATTGTCCTGTCCGGCCGGCATCATATCAGTCTTCGTCTGTTATGTCAAAATACCCTCCAAGTTGTTCATCTTCGTAATATTTGAAGATTATGCCATGTGTTTTTTGTACGTGTTTAATTATAACGTCTGACGGATTATGTATATGTTTCAGAACCTTTTCGTTATTGGCGATAATTTTACTAATGAGATCGATTCTAGATTTGTCAACCATTGTAATCAAATGCGGGAATTCGGTAATTGTGGCAATATACATATCATCCGTCCGATGCTCTATCGGAATGTACCATAACGTCGAGTGATTTGCTTTAAATGCTTTTTCACAAATTTTTTTTGTTTTATTTTTAGTTTTCTCAAATAAAGAACAATCTTCTTTAAGTATTGTTTCCAACATATCATCTGTCTGAAATTGTTCTTCAAAAAATTTGTAAGCTTTGATAGATACTTCAAACGCAAATTTACACAAATCTTCTGTTTGCTCAACAAGACGTATGACAGTCCAATCTCTTTTGATAACACCCTTTATCATATCCGGTGTTTTGTTTTGAATATATTTAATCACTTTTCTGGTTTTTTCCAACATTTTGATCCAAAAATCGTCGTCAACATCACTAAATTTTTTGATCGATTTGACATCGATCATATTCGAATATTTTACACCATCACGGTTAACATAAACTTCTGATCCGTCGGGTATTTCAACCTCTGCGTAGAATTCAAAACCAAAACCAAGATCAAACAGCATGTAACTTTGAGTTCCCTCGAAAAAACACATGGGATAATTACTGACATTTAATCCTTTTTTTAATGTTTTATTCGCATTAACATGCCTATATTTGTCGGTCGAGTCTTCTATATTTTCACTAAGGCAATATTCTTTTTCATGGTCGCACGGTGAACTACACACAATGCAGGCCAAACGATACCCGGGATATATATGGTTAGACTTAAGTAACGTGTAAAATGGTCCACTGTGTTTGGAATTGTCAAAATTAGTTTTTACCAGCACGGTGCCTGGGCCAAATTTTTTGGCAATGTCATTATACGTATCGGTCATTTTATTTTGTATAATATTTAACAAATAAATGAAAGTACCCGAACTGTTGAAAATAAAGATATTCAATCGGTGTTCTTTTTTAATTTTTAACACCGTTGCACATTTTAAACGCCGACTTTTTTAATTCAATTATAAATTATTTTGTGTGTTGTGTTAAACCATCTAATTTGTGTAATCCGGATATTATTTGTATTGTAAAATGTATTGTGCTTATCTTAACTCATTTAGTAATTCTTTTATTTTTCATTTCAATGACTACTTGCATTGCATTGTATCATATTGTCTAAAAAAATTCATATAGTCTATCACCACCAATTCCGCCCTTTTCATATAATTCCCAACCTAAAACACTAATTATGTCAAGAATTAAATCACAAAAATTTGCCCGCCCAAAAAACGTCTTTATTTTAAGACATATGCTTTACTTTGTCATAGTTTAGTTTATGCTCATCCACACCACTGTCCGTTGCAAGTGAATTTACCAATTAGATAAATTTAAAAATTTGACTATTATCTCATATATTAAAATTTGTTTGTCAATTATTTTTTCAAAAATGAAAATGAAACTAGATATTAAATCAAAAAATTATTTGCATGTATTAGAAACAATAAAATCTAAAAATCACAAAGCAAGATTAGTTGGGGGAGTAGTTCGAGACGCTATTTTTGGTATTGAATCAAAAGATGTCGATATTATAACCACAATGTTGCCGGAAGAAATAACGAGGGTTTTTGAGGAATTAGGGCATAAAGTAATTCCGACCGGAATCAAACATGGTACTGTTTCAATATTATATAACAACGAATTATTTGAAATTACAACTCTAAGAAAAGATATAAGTTCGGATGGCAGACACTCGGAAGTTGAATTTACCGGGGATTTTCATGTTGATGCACTTAGAAGGGATTTTACAATTAACGCTTTGAGTTATTGCCCTTTCGAAGAAACAGTCTATGATTATTTTAATGGTATTGAACACTTAAAATTGGGATGTGTAAAATTTATAGGTAATCCAGAGTCACGTATCCAAGAAGACTATCTAAGAATATTGCGCTTTTTCAGATTTTATGGTAAATTTGGCAAAATAATAGACAAAGATAGTTTGGATGCGTGTATAAAATATAGGTCATCTATAAAAAAATTATCGAGAGAACGAATTAAATCGGAACTTGATTCAATTCTAAATTTACCAAATTATTTCGACGTTATTAGATTAATGAACGATCATTCAATTTTACAAGAAGTTTTTCCAATTTCGACCATAGACATCGAAAAATTCACAAAGGCTAATGACATTGCAAACATTTTCGGGGTTTTGTTAAATATTAAAACTAAATACGCTTTATTGTTTGAATTAAGTGGAATTGTAATTAGTCATACTGACCTGATTAATTTAAAATTTACACGAAAAGAATCTAGTCATATTAATAAATTACTTTCTATAAAAATAAAACATTCAAATATCGACGATGAATTCCTAAAAAAAATATGGCATTGTAACGATGATTTTGAGCAAATTTTCGTGTTTTTGTCCACTATGTCTAACGATAAAGAAAATGAAATTATTGCGAAAGTTTTTTTACAATTGCAAAAAAAACAAAAACAAGTTTTTCCGCTAAATGGTAATGACATCAAAGATTTGGGGGTAGTTAATACTGAAATAAAAAACGAGCTCGATTATTTACAACATAAATGGATCCAAAGCAATTTTGAATTAACAAAACATGAATTAATTAAATTATTAAGGCAATAAAATTGAATCAATTAAAAATATGAATTTCCCATTTTTTTTACAACATGTACTTACTTTGTAAAAAGATATCCTGCTTACTTTACTTTACTTTACTTTACTTTACTTTACTTTACTTTACTTTACTTTACTTTACTTTACTTGTACTTTTACTTTTTGCATAATACGATGGTTATTGAAAAATTTTTTCGGGTTTTAACAATCCCGGTAATTATTTACAATTTCTTTGCGTTCGGTTTAGGTGTTGCTGAAGCGGTTTTTGTTTCTAAATATGAAGAATACATGGGTATCTGTGATGAAATATGGTGGTGGATGCTCATTTCATCTATTGTTAATATTACAATACCAATTATTAATTGTTTTGGATTTACACTTTTTGTCAAGAAACCCGGGAATTATTCTTGTCTTAATTTCCTCCACATTGGTGGTTTTCTGATTTCCGTTCGGTTTGCGGCGATTTACACCAGCATTACCGAAATTTGTTATAATCAATTGCTAGTTAAATCCGGCAAGTTTTGGGTTTTTATTGTTATTCATTATGTTTCTTTTTGGGTAGCTGTAAGTTTTATATCACTAACAATTATTTGTTTCATTGTTGCTTTTATTTTAGAAAAATTCATATTACCTAAAAAAAGCGCAGTGGTATCAGTTTAATAATGATTGGGGATGTGGGATTAAGTTTAAGATTAAGATCAATACTTTGACGGCATAAATATTGTTGGTGTACGTTCTTTTTTTATTTAATTTGGCAAAATAATCGATGTGAATGATTGACATTGTTTGTTTTTTCCTTTATTTTCTTTTCTTTTCTTTTCTTAATCTTTTACCCCCAACTGATAATTGTAATTGCCAAGTTTTGATATTTGTTTATATTCAAGAGTATTTGGTCTGTTGTATGTTATGACATATCTTCCGAAATTTTTGTCTTTAAAAGGATTTATAAATTCCTTTAACTCTTCAGTTATGCCGTTTTCTGGATATTTAAACTTGTTATAATATATATTTATTTTATATATTCCAACATTAGCCGGAATAAAAGGATCGTCGTGTTCATTATCAATATAACATTTATAGTACATAATAACGTTATTTACTACTGCGATACAAAGAAGAATTATGACTATTACAAGATATGTCCTAATTGACATTAGTTTTAATTATAGATCTTTTTTTTATTTAATAATGTGTTCTTTTTTTATTGCTATTATTAATACGCCAAAATAATTAGACTGATTAACAAATATTGGGATTTAAAATAAAATGAGACAAAAATCCTATTTATATCTAATCTAAAAGGTTTGTTCGTTACAGAAATATGTAAATTATGATTGTGTTATAGCATAGCGACAACAATAACTGATTGGTTTTTATAACAAAATACCTATATTATGTATTAAGGGAGCAAATCGCTATAGAACTTGCAACTATAACTATTACCGATATTTTTTTAAATAGTTTTATTATTATCTCATTTTGAATCTTCAAAGGTGTAAACACAATTTAGTAATTCCAAAACTTCTTGCCATATAATATGTATAATGACCACAAAGAAGTACGATAACTTGGATTTTTTGCTAAATATCTATAATGATCTTATTTATAATAAATCTTCGGAAAATAGCTACAGATTCGAACCAATTACGAGAAAAGGGATAAGATTGGAAGACGTAAAAAAACCCAGCACTTTTGACTTTAGCTATATTTTTGACGGTGAATTTAAATATATTGGCACTTATAACAAAAGGCATCATTTTAAAAGAAAATCCAAGACTGGATACCCGTGTCATGTAATATTTGGGTGTTATGATGACGTTAATACATCAAATTTACAGAAAGGCGTTTTGTACAACACAGCAATGATGTATATTGTGTCTGAAATTGTTGTAAATGAAAAGTTTAAACACTCGATTCTTCCGGTGATGCTTTTTGATATCAATAAATCAGACATTGTTAAATATATCCCAGACTTTGACAGTCTCATTAAATCATTGGGTAACAAATGCGAAGAATCAACGTCGATGTATTGTTTGATTACAGAACATTTTTTTCATATGATGCCTCTTAGCGAATTTCTTAAAATACATACTAATATGAACGAGACCTTATGGAAAACTTTATTTTTTCAAGTACTATTTTCATTATACAAACTTACAGAAAGAATTACACAGTTTCGTCATAACCGACTCAATCTTGATGCAATAATGGTTTGTGTTAAAAACATAGACAACAGTAAAACACTTTACAAAGTGGGAGATACCAAGTTTTTTGTTCCAAATGCGGGTTTTGATATTAAAATTGGGGACTATGATTATGCGTCAACAACCGATTATATTCCTAATGCAATAACTGGTAAAAAACCATATAATGACTATTATGATGTTCATTATTTTTTTACCTATCTGCGTCTTTGGATGAATGATCACTCAATAAACATTCCCAAGCCAGTATTGAATTTTATTAACGACATTGCTCCACCGGAACTTATTGACAAAAACATCAAGTCGGTGTCTGCTTTCACAGGATTAGATGAAAGCACTGATATTAAAAATCTTAATAGCGTTAAAACTATTCCATCGCTAATATTAAAGAAAAATAATTTCTTTAGTTCATTTATTACAAACACAAACTTAGAACAAGATAAATACATGAATATGTCAGCGACTCCTATAGAGAATCCGACAGCACTTGTCGAAGAATTTAGTTCAAATTCGGAGTTTTCCGAGTCGGAATACATCAGATCTATCACTGATTCTGATGTAGGCAATTCTAGACTTTTGGGTCGTTTAGTGCCAAAACCTGAAATATCTAAACACGCTAAAAATAAAAATTTAAAGTTCAGTAATAATACAATGCCGAAGGGAACAAATAAAACCGATGCTAATATAGATATAGACGTAAGAGAGAAATCAATGTCTAATTCGGATTCATTGTCAGACACAGACAATAGATATACTGAAAGCGATGTTTTTATGAATGCAGATCGCTACCACAGATCTAAAGACAAAAACAAAAACAAAAACAAGGACAAAGATAAAGACAAAGACAATCAATATAAAAACTATTACAACTCCCTAAGAGAAGTCTCAAGACCGGTTGCCAAACAAGTCGATAAACCGGTACCAGTTGGTTCTGAAAAAAAGACCAATGGTGAAATATTTAGCCGTCCTTTGCCAGAATCCGAAAAAAATCCTAAATCAAAATTTACTGATAATGACAATAATGACACAGTTTCGATATCATCAGACAGTTCGTCTGAATCTAAAGAAACCGGGACAACAACATACAAAAAGTTTATGGAGGCTTTAGACAAGATTAATATGGCTGATATTGTTGCTAAACTCAGTCCAGATGAATCAGATTATACAGCGAATAAAATAAAAAAATCCAGACATAGAAAAACCAAAACAAATGCCCCAGACGTCTCAGATATCATGTCTCAAAACGGCGGGACGTCTGAGGAAAACATTTCCGACAAACCGGGCAAAAATAGAAGAAATAAAAATGGCTATGAGTCTTATCTTGGGCCTGAATTTTCAAAAAAAATAAAAAATCTCCCAGATAACTATTTAGGTGAAGTTCCTCCCCATATGCTTCATATGCTTCCGGATGAAAATGGCGTAGTTTTGGGTGATAATTCCGGATTTGGTCAATTGAACCAACAAAAACCTAATCAAATGGCCAGTTTGTTGGGCTTTGGGGAAAACGGAATGAGTAAAATGGAACCACCTCAAGGCATTTACTCAAACAGGTCAGCTCCAGGTTATGGGTCAATGGGCAATCCAATGTCTGGTATACCTGGACAAATATTTGGCCCGGGTTATACCCAAGGCTATGCCCAAGGATATGCCCAATCTTACCCCCAAGTCGATAATTCTACTGCATTGCAAGGAATGCAGGGAATACAAGGTATGCAAGGAATGCAAGGAATGCAAGGTATGCAACAGGGAATGATGCAAGGTATGCAAGGTATGCCAATACCAAACACGCTTGATATGCATATGCAACAGGGGATGCAAGGTGCACAAGGAACACAAGGCATGCAAGGTATGCTAACGCAAGGTATGCAAGGTGCACAAGGTATGCAACCCGGAATGTTTGATATGCAAAATATGCAAGGAGTTCAACAAGGATTTCCAAGCATGTACCCGATGATGGGTGGTGCCAAACCAAAAAAATACAAAATTATTAGTAACAAAGACACATTGCATAACAACCCAAAAAGAGATTTTTTTTTTTGAATAACAAAGACAATAAGTCAAAAAACACAACAAATAGCGGTCAATGCGGTGGATATATAAAACAAAATACTAATGAAATAGTTGCGGATCCAAAATTTAACATACCTGAGTACAAAGAACCCGTAAATAACTCAATGATTCCCAATGAGCAAAAAAGAATTTATGGCGAAAACAAACAATATAAAAATGACGGACAACAAAATCCCATTTTAAATCTCCAATTATATCAGCCGCCTAAACCTGTTTCCACTGGTCGCAAACAATATCCTAACCCAGCGGTTTTCTACCCAAACTATGTACCTAATCCGTTTGATCCGGTTTCTTATGCTAACTACATGCAGTTCGCGGGCTACAATATGCAACCTGCTCCCATTTACAAAGAGTATAATATTAATATTGGTGGTGTGTCGGGTTCTCATATTAAAACTGCAATGTTTTTTGAAGATGCGCTACCAATTAAAAACGTGTCCGGATCATTTGGATCTATTGGTGAAAGGCAAACAATGTGTGAGTCAATTAGAGCAAATTTGTTTGCACAGGGCGATGGAAAAGATGTCCCAATTGAAAATGAGACATACAGTATTCTTTCCCATATCAAACTGATGGATATGAATCCTTATAATGCCTCAAGATTCTCAAAAAATCCCTATAAAGGTCTGCCTTTCGGATTTCTTCTTTATAGATCGTGTTACCCAATGAGGCATGACATGAAACAGTTTGATGCGATTTGTGCCCAAAATTCAACCGGTATTAATGTGAGAATTTACAGGCTTACCGAGGGAGCATACACAGTTAACAAGCAAGACACAACAAAGGCATCTGACTATGATGAATGGAGAGATATTGCTTTTTATAATTTTGTGAAAGAACAAATTCTTAAAAAGAAGGTTTGTCCAAACTTTCCTTTTATATATGGATACAACATATCAGTTAACTCAAACATTAATTTTGATGATTTGAAATTAATACAAGATCCTGAAAAAGGAAGAATTACTGATGTTGCAGTATTTAATAAAACATGGGGGACTTCAAATCAAATTAACAATCTGAATAGTGTTAATCAAACAACAGCTAATAATACATTAGATGCATTGAGACGTATTAACAATCAAGATAGAACAATGCCCGCAAATGTTATGGTTCCTGTAACAGGGGTTGTAACTAGGGGAATTACAAATATGCCGTCTAAAGAAGAACAAACAATAATGTTAAATAGATATGCTGGTAAGGCTCTTGTGTGTTTAACTGAGGCATGTAACTACAGTATATTTGGTTGGGCAAAAAAGGAATATCGTGCTAATGGCAATATTAAAACCATGATAAACCCGGGATATCACACAAAAGCGGTATGGGAGTCTGTTATTTTTCAGATTATGGTTGCGTTATATGTAATGCAAATCAAGGGTCTGATTATCAATAATTTTAGAATAGATCGCAACGTATTTATTAGGGATATTAATATTGGGGGAACTGT